AAAAAAATAAAAAAAAAAATAAAAAAAAAAACACATCATAGTAAAATTAATACCTTCTCAGCTTCGCATCGAAGCTAAAAATATCGTAACACTACTTTTTTGGATGCCTACAATACTTTATAAGAAGATTTTTTAAAAATATCATATTATATGTATTTTTAGTGCAGTGATTTCTACCTTATAAATATATGTTTGTAGTTCATGTGTACAGTTTTAGTAAAATTATATTAATTATTTGATATTTATGTAAATTATATTTGTAAATCTAACCATCTAATATTCTTCAAATTTGAATAATACATAAAACATCAAAAACTTTTTATTCATAATGTTTTTCTTTGTCTAATGCAATATAAAAAAATTATATATTTGTTCGCTCGAGTTAAATCGTTAAGTCGTGAAAAAACAAAATTACACCGTCCTTGAAAAAAGTAGAGCTATTTAAAACAAACGTGTGTTCATTTAAATTATTTTCAAAAGTTATCCTATTGTTTGATTAATATATTTAAAAATATTTCTATAAAAAGTTCCCAAGATTATTATTTTTGTTTTAATTCAAAAAGATCAACTTGCCAAAGTGTCGAAAAAGCCTGATGTCCCTTATATTTGTTTTTCCAATTGGTAATTGTTAAATCATTCATGTCTATTGAAAACTACATTATGATTAAGTATATCTCTAATAAGTAAACAATAAATTGTTGTATTTTATCTTTGTAAGTAACAACATGTTTTAACGAAGTAGTTTCTTATTACTCGACAATAGAATAAAAGTGTAATGTAAGTTTTTTAGAATTAGAATAATTTTAATAGGGTTGTCTTCAAAACCTACTTGAAGTCGATCGAAGGTCAAGTAGGACTCTAAGGAATATAATATAATGAGCTCACTAAATTTATTATTACGTTACTAAAATTCTATGAAATTTCACCTAAAGAATTATTTTTAGTGGAAATATCTAAAGTTATAACATCCCTAAGTTGTGCATCCACTTGAATTCCAAATAAAATTAAATACATGTAACATTATTTTAATATTAAAAAATTTAAAGTAAAAACATGTATACATTTAATGTTTCTTTTTATCAGTAGATAATTATAGTGACAAGTGTTACAGATATTCATGTTTAAATTTAAAATTTTAAAGTATTCATGTTTAATTTGTACTTGAAATATTGCGTAAAAAGTTTCAATGAAATATTTCAATTTTTTTTTGTTTCGTGAAATTTTAAATCACTAGTAGTGAGCAAATAATGTATTATCTTTATTCAGTGGCGTATCCACTTAAAGATTTATGTTTACATTAGCCATATATGATCAAAAATCATTTTAGAAATCGCTCAAAAAAAAGTCACTTGAAAATAACAGCGAATAGGCGTATTTCGAAAACATTGATTTTTAAATAGATGTCTCTTATTTTTATTAAGTACGCATATTTTATAATTTTATTAACTATTAATATTACTTGCTGCCATTTGTTATTAATAATAATAGTTTTTTAACTTTAAGCATTTTTACTTTTTATAATAAAAAAAAACTATAATTACCTTGGATGTTTTACTATAAACTTATTATGGTAATAAACAATTTTGTTTGTTGTTAATAGATTTAAGTTTATTAATATTATTTTATATTAAATAAAATAAATTATTCAAATTGATTGAGAAATAAATCTTCTAAAGTGTAACAAATTTATTTATTTTATTTCAAAGTATACGTTCGTATACACGTGTCGTAAACCCGAGTATTTATATAACAAAATATTTGTAATATTTTTAAGGGGTATACGTTAATTTACAAAACTGAATATTAGTTTACCCCCAGCAGAAATTTTTGTCAACTACCAAGTATTGACAACGGGCGAAGAATTGCACCTCTACTGATACTGACCATTGGCTAGCCCATACTAGCGTATTACAGGCTGGTGTCCTGTCCAAGTGCTGATCCAGTATTAGCGGTCAGTATTTGGATGCCATAACAGACAAAATATTGGCGTAAAACTACTTATACAAAAACTCCAGCACTGATCTATCAGTGCAAAAAATCGTTATCATCACTGATATATGCGACATATATCTCAGGGTGGTCACATTAGTTGTAGCGGCTACTACACTTATTGTTATTTTCTGTTTGGGTACATCCCTCAAACAAACCACTGATTATTAGATAATGTGCTTATATCATATTACTATTATCAAAAAGATTTAAAAAAAAAAAACAATTTTAATCGGTACAATTTTGATAGATTTGTTGTCGACACATCTTCATTATATTTGTTTGCAAAATTATTGTGAGTTATAACATTATCCATAAGTACTTTCGCTTATGATATGTGTGAGAGGCTGCGGGAGGCACAATATTTTTAATTTACTGTAGTGTTCGACCCAGCTCAATGCAGTGCATTGTAGTTATTATTATTTCTATATTATTACTCCCTCTATGGTTCTTGTTTGTACTTTTTACGTGTCCATCACATGATAACATCTATTTATTGCATACAAAACTTGTACAAATTTTTATTTTAGTTTTGTACGAATTTTCATACTGTGATAACCTAATGAACTAAACCTATTTATATTTAAATATAAACCGTAATTTAAAAGTAAACGCTGGTTGGTTATTTTTTATTTAACGAATTTTTTCACATTTGTCATATATTTTAATATAAAACACGCACAATGACATACGTCATATTATCCTATCAGCTACTCCTTTACAAACATCAACTATTTATAACACGCTATAACATTCATCATATAGTATTAAACAAATTATGTCAATAACATCGCTGTTTAAAATTAATTGAAGTTTCTTGTCAAAAAGACAACAACGACCTATTTATTGACTTATTTATAATGTCAGACTTTTCGCTTTTACTTAAGTTACAGTCTACGACGCGTGGGCTTCCTTTCATCACGAATAGTGTTAATAGACACATATAGACTTTTAGAACTGCTTTAATTTACTATTGATACATTGCAAAATTTTCAAATATAAAGTGTAAATCATTTCGCCTCGAATTATACTTCAATTGAAAATTGGATAGTTAAAGTGACTTGTTCATTGGTGTTTTATATATTTGGATCATGATACTTTTATATTTTTTTCGGAAGAAAAGTCAAAATCGGTCTATTTTAAATAATTTGCCCACAAGACGTAAAAACAATGTTGTTCTTCTCACCCGATTTATATTACCATCGGATTACAGATTATCAGTCATAGAAGACTGATAATTTTCAAAAAAGTAATTGTAAGTACAAAACAGTTAATATAATCTTAATTAAAAAATCATCAATCAATGTTGCTGATTATTGTGTAATAATACCTAATTTTCATGATTTTTGGGCAATAACAAGTTAACCATGACTCGAATTATTTTTAGTAAAAAAATTATAAAATTATTATTCATACTAACCGATTTTTCGAGCATAACTATAATGAGTCCATATTAAAGATTATGAAGGTACATTAGATGGTGATTACTATGAATCGATGGAATCATGTTGTCATGTCAACACTATAAATGCGTATGTGCGTGTATACAAAAAAACATGAGTATACACTACTATTATGTTCATAGATAATATCAAATAATAAGCAGATTTTCATTGATTACTGCTGAAATAATTTTCTTTACCATTAATTTCTATTAATTAACAATGATTTTTCTTCAGCTAATATTTATGATCACAGTGGCGACTCATGGTTTGGACAATGGTACGATCGCACCCCTAATAAAATTAATTAAAAGAAGAAAATTAATTGTATTTTCTTAATTCTAAATTTTTATTAAAAATGCAAATTTTTAAACAGTAAAATAGTTATAATACATTTGTGTGCGAGAACACTAAAGTTGTTTCGTTCAGTATATGCGGTTGCACATGCCCACACGAGCAGTGTTTGGACGACCGACAGCGTCGTCCATACGGTAAAATATTAGTTTATTATTATATAGTGTAATTTATTTTTAGAATTAACTGTTCGTCGTTTTCGGTGGCCTGTAATAGTATAATCGCTATTATTATTATTTTTATTTCTATTTTCTACTGCGACCTTTAAAATAATAATATGTGTATTATGTTTAATTTTATTATATTTAAAAATTTTTTATATCTATGACTACCGGTATTATATTTAAAGTCGCCATCACCATCAGCATCCACGAGCCACCACTGCATAGACATATTGAAAATGTATTTCCATTTTAAATAAAGAGTATTATAAAATACTAGTACTGTAATTACGTACAACAAGATTAAATAATAATATTTTTCAGTACAAGAATAGACGTTAGAAATACAAAATCACTAAATAATGGACGAATATATGTTATGAAAGAAATATTTTAATCGTATAAATAATTCTGTAAAAAATTTTTTTAAATTATTACAATAAATAAAAACCAATTAACAATTCTAGTATAATTGAATATAAATTTAATTTATTAAAACTTAGGAAATGTTAAGAAATTAAATGCTACTTCCATTTTCACTGAAAATAATAATTTGTAAAATAATAAATTATCCTAATTAATATTAAAAATAAAACAAAATTTTGTTTAGTAAATTTTTTGAGTCATAAAAATCATTATTTGTTAAATAATTATCATATTAAAGTAAAAGCTATTACACTTATCAGTATGAATCTAAATTTTAAAGGCTACTAAAATTGAGGTAACCCAGCCCACTACTTCACTTCCCATAAAGTGCTTCTACATTCTCACGAATAAATAACTAAATTAATAAATATATAAAATTCCATTTATCTGTATAGTTGATTGAAATCAACCAAATTCTGAGAAGAAAAAGATATGAAGTGATATATTAATAATTTAAAAGTAATTCATATTTTTGTCCTTAAAATTGTATTTAATCATTTATTATAATAACCGTTACTTTTCGGCTGATTATTTATTTAACAATGCGTAATCAGTTAAAATATCTTAAATGCTTCAATATTCAAATAATAATTTATCTTATATAAAAAAAATGCGATAGTTGCTTTAAAATAGATTATATAGAAGTTTTAATTTTGGAAAATATCTTTTTCTTCGTTGATAAATAAATGTTGTAACTACAAATGAAAATCGTACGCCCTTATAATAAAATAAAACACGTTAAAAAGTAAAATTAGATAGTTTATATTTTTTTTTAACAAAATACTATAATTTAAAAAAAAAAACAATCACTATTTCTTATCACGAGTTTATTGTATCGCCATTGGTTAGTGTAAGGTTCATGGTCAGTATTTGTCGTGTAATTACCCATAGGGGCGTGCGATTGATTAGTATCCATGATATAGAGCACAGTTTTCTATGTGCATTTGGACGTATTAGAGTATGCAAATGCTTTAGACCATGTTCCAAAACATATTCACGTCAGAAATACAATTGTCAGATAGTTCTGTAACGATGGCAGCTGACGAAAAATATAATGCTTGTCGTTATTATGACAATAGGGATGACAGCCAAGAAGCAGATATCAATCAAACCAAGCTCCTTCGATCGACGGCAGTACAAACTATAGAATATCTTTATAGTAACACCAACGAGAAGTGTCGCATGGCACGAACTGTTTCAAAAATCAACCAAGAAGAACAAAATAAAGATTTTGTTTCAATATCCTCAAAAAAAAATAGGTTTGCTTCATTAAATATCAATTTAATACGTTATTCAAAATAAAAATATAAATTAATAGTAAATCATGGTTAACTATTAAACTATCTACCATTCATATATAATTTATTAAAATTGTAGTTTGGGAAACTCAGTTGAATATGAAATGCTTACTTAGACGGCTAAAAAAACTAACTTTAATCAACTTGAATTTGTTTTTCTTATATCTTTGTACGAGCATGAGTTAATATTAATTAAGAATAATAATTACCGCCAGATTTCTCATAAAATAATCATTATGTTAAGAAAAAAATTGTGTTTATTTTAGTTCCACATACATCTTGATTGATCAATTATTAATTACTTTATTAATTAAAATTTATAAAATAAGAAATAATCTTATTAAGAAATTGATTGGCGAAAACTACTTTTTGTACCAATACATAAAAAGTTTTAGACTTTATTATATCAAAGCGGTTGGGAGAAGTACGGCCAAGATAAATATTGGCATACGTGTGCCTTACCACCTACAAGTATTTTCTAACCATTATTTTTAAATTAGTAATAACTTTTATAACTAAATCATTATTAAATTATAATATATAATTATAATTAGACAAATTTTTTATAAGCTTGTAAAGCATGTATGTTATAAAATGTATAAAAGATATGATATTATGAAAGTACATAACTATTAATAAATTAAGAAATATATACAACAAAAACCCAGCACAGGGGGGTCGCGGCACAGTGGTAACGTAGCATAGTTGGATTAAGTATAATGACATCTGACAGTGATTAAAATCACTATTAAAAAAAAAAAAACGCTTCAATGTAAATCTTTAGATAGTGTTTAATTTTAAAAAATTGGTGGATTATTCCAAAAGCTTCATAAACTGCTAGTTCCTTATTAATATCCTGATTAAGACAAAGTATGTAGAATAAAAAAGAGATTATTAGAAAATAGTATTTCCCATAAAAAAATTATATTGATCAATACACTTTTCAANAATTAAAAAATATTATTTCTCATAAAAAAATTATGTTGATCCATACAATTTTCAATAAGTTATAGAATTATAAAGTTAAAAATATAAAAAATAAAATCGAGAATTTTTACACAATAATAGCATTTGGTAGCCATTTTCACCTTGAAGACAAAATAAAGTCCGAAATTTTTTTTTTTCACAATAAAGTATATTATATCAGCTTTAATTTAAGATATATATAAAAGTGTCAGACTTTCCGGAACACTTTCAAAATTTAAGATGAAAAAGTTGTATTGTATATATGCATTTTTTAGATTTGAACCCCACTCGTATATAGGGAAATGGTTTGATTTAAAAAAACAGTATGTCGAATGAAAGGTGTATATAAATACTAATTTTCATGACAAAATTGTATTGATCTATACATTTTTCAAATAGTTATAACATAATAAAGTTAAAAATGTGAAATACAAAATCGAAAATTAGCGATTTTTAAATTTGTAATTTTTTTGAAGGTTTCACCCATTTACGGGGAACGAGGGAAATTTTTTCAATTTTTAAGGGTAATGTCTTCGACTAGATACGATTTGTGACCTTTTGACGTATCGTTGAAAGAAATCCGTTCGGTGAGAGCTGAGAAAAAGTGGTAACAGACACAAAAAAAAAAAAAAATCATAATAAAACCAATACCTTCTCAGCTTTGCATCGAAGCTAAAAAAACCAAAAATTACTTTCTTAACATATTTATTATTTCAAGATAAATATTTTCGTTTTTTAATATTATAAAATAAAAAGACATACATTGATCATAAAAAAATCATTTTTTAGTAAAATTTCATTAAAATTATAATTTTAATGAAATTTTTATTAATAATTGTTAATAAAAAAAAAACATAATATTTATTTAATAAAAATTGATCACTTGTTACTAGTAATCTAACGAAAAAATATTCTAGGTTATAGAAATATTCCTCTGTAAAATATTATGGGCAGGGCAAGTATACATTAAAATCATAATGCTTATAAAAAAAAACATTTTGATGCTAATGTACTTAATTTTTAGAAGAAATTTTTGTATTTCTCCAAAAGAATATTATTTCCTTAATTATGTCTCGATTACAACAAGTTTTATGATTTAAATATATAATACACGAATAAATTATTAAATTACTAATTAAATTTAGTAAAAAATTGTTATTCAATATTTTAGTATTATAATATTCATGGAATATTTTATAAAAATTTAAGATTAATTGTATATTTCTTAAGGTCAATTTATCATAAGGAATTGTTAATTATAACATTTTTTTTGGAAAGTGAAACCTCCTTCCTATTAATATACCTATTGGATTGGCATTTAAGGCTGCAAAAATTCTCCCTAAAAATATTTATAATTAACATTTAAATCGCTATTGTTATTTTTTTTTTCTGTAAATGAGGTGCTAAATATAGGTACTCTTCCTTCCCATATATTTGACTACATAAATTGACCTAAAATATAAGCATAAATAATTGAATAAAAAACACGAAAACTGATTTATTAAACTACATTAACATGTTCTTTTAACTTGGTAGGTGGTTTACATAATATGTAAACCGAACCCAACCGTAGTTATTATAAAAAAAAAGGTATCATCAATTAATTTCTTACATTTTCAGATTTGTTATAACATGCCCAACCCATCTAAGTCTATTTCCTCTCATCTTATCCTCGATTAACGCTATACTTATACTCCCTCTTATACGTTTATTAATTATCCTATCTTCTCTAGTCACTCCACTCATCAATCTAAGCATTCTCATCTCTACTACACTTCTACCCCGCTCTACATTCTTAATGTTTAGAACATAAATAATTATAATAGGTAGCTTAAATAAAGGGCTAGAGAATAAATTTTGCTTAAAAAATAAAAATTTCTATGAATAATTAATATTGTTTAATTAATTTTTATTAGGATATTAAAAAAAATTCATGAAGTTTTTAAGAAGACATCAAAAGTTACCTTGAGTGTTGTAATTTTTATTCTTATTATATTATCTGCCCTACTTTTGAAAGGTAAACTGTTATTAAAATTGTTATTTTATCAATAATACTAATAACTCACATAATTATTTTTATTTTTCACTAGGCTTAAATAATAAACCAACTATTTATAGCACCTGTCAAAGTGATGAATGTTTGATATCAGGTTATGACATGCTGGTTGTAGATTTATGATCCACAAAATACATTCATTTATTAACATAAACTTTTTTTTTATATATATATAAAATAAAGCTACAACAATAATGCAATCAATGAACTCGGCCGTTGACCCTTGTGACGACTTTTACGAATTTGCGTGTGGCAACTGGCAAGATCGTTATCTTTCAGTATCTGGCCAAACAAACTCATGGTTTATCGAAAGAACCCGATACATTTCCATTATTATCACAAGTAAGATTAAATTACATGTTGGCATTAAGAAATTATTTAAAAATAATAATAATAATAAATAAAAAAAATACTCAATTTTTATAAAACATTAACACATAGAAATACATAATGCTATGGAATATAAGTGTAAAATTATTTCTTTACTTCGTTTTTTTTACACAAAGTTGAAATTAGATTATGATAGTGATAAATTATGCTGATATTTGTGAGAATTTTTCTGTAGTTAACTATTTTCTACGAATTATTTCATAAAAATTACAATCCATTTTTGTGATATTTCATTTTTATTATGCCAAAGGTCGACTACAAAAATGAGATTAAAAAAAAAAAGAAATAAAATTAGGTACTTGAAATTTTTTAATTTTAGTTCAAAATCATGAAATGATGTGGAGTTAATCGATCATTTCGTAAGAAAAACTGTAAGGAAGTTAATTGTTCTTATTTCACCCACACATCGAATTTCGCCGTTACAAAAAAATAAATATTTGGTTTTTAATTTTTTTTTCTATAACCAATAAAAATTCTATTTTCAACGATTAATAATAGCAAATTCAATTCTACTAATTATTTTTAGCTTATATTGAAACATTATTCAATTAAACTGATTTATGAAAAATAACAAAAAGCTATACAATTATGTATTACAAAATATTAAATTCTTTAAATGTAAACTTCAATATATTTACACATACATTGAAATATTCATATAAATTTATTAAGTCATCATTGTATAATACAATTTCTTCATAGGATTAATTTGTTTAAGATAATGTAAAATATTTGTAATAATTTTATTTTATATAGAAATTTTGGAAGAAATTAATCAAGAAAATGATTTGAGATCAATAAAACAAGCCAGATTATTGTATAAAACATGTCTTAATACAGGTATACATTACTAAATATAAAAATAAGTAATAAAATCATTCAACAATATTACAATACATTAAAAGTTAATATAAAATTTACAAGTAATATCCAATAAAAAAAAAACAATTTATATCATATTATGAAAATTAATTATGGACCACAAAAAGATTTTAGGCTTGAGTAGATATAATGTAAACATTATTTATGAGAACACTTTAATCTTGAAAAATATGATAAAATCTTAAAACTATTGAACTGAACAATCATATTTTTTGTATACATAATGTCCCACCATGATTTACTAATTTGACTTCATAAACTAATGTTAAATTTAGTGAATCACGGTGGAAATCCCTATAAAGCTGTATGAAATTATCCATAGAAAAATTTATTTTAGAAACAAAACTTTTTAATCGAAATTAAGATGGGTAGTAAATAAATAAACGTCTGTGCATTTCAATTAATTTTATTGTTCTCGTTTTTAAACATTTTTATTACCTTCCTTATATTAAGTTCTTTGTAATTATTTAAGTTTTTAATTAGTTTAACATTTTAATAGAATGTTAATGTGTCAATAAATGTTCACACGCAGGAGATTTATAAGCTTTTTGATTTTTAATGCTTCTTAAGTGTTCATAAACTAGCCCCTATATTTTTGTTTATCCTACGTAAGATTTATAAACTGACAAAATGTAATAACATCACTTAATGATAAAGTTACTAGGTGATTGATCCCTAGAGGTATATAAAATGATGAGATGTCAATATGTGTTTAGCGTTATGAAGGGTAACATTTTTATACAATTTTTTTTTAGTAATTTTTATAATTTTTAATAACAATGTTTCAAAATAAAGATGTTACTTACAAATATTTGATATTCCTTTTATACGAATGGAGTTTAAAATTCCTACCATTTAAATTTCGATAAAAATTAAGTCGTTAATCTCTTAATTATTTTTTAGCTTCGATGCGAAACTGAGAAGGTATCAATTTTACTATAATGTATTTTATTTTTTGTGTGTTTGTGACCACTTTTTCTCAGCTATCATAGAACCGATTTCGTTCAACGATACGTTAAAAGATCACAAATTGTATCTAGTCAAAGACATTACCCTCAAAAATTGAAAAAATTTCCCTCGTTCCCCGTAAACGGAGGAAATCTCAAAAAAATTTACAAATATAAAAATTGCTAATTTTTGACATTTTTAAAATTTTTTTTTTACTTAAAATTATCATAACTTTTTTTAAAATGACAAAATCAATATAAATTTTTTTTTGTAAATGCATGATATCTTTTCCTATCATTTTACATATTTTTTTTTATAAATCTGACCCTTTAACTGTCTACATGAGGGATTCGAAATGACAACATTTTCACAAAAAATTAACTTTTCAATTTAACTTTTGAAAGTATTTCAGAAAGTCTAACACTTTTATATATATCTTAAATTAAAGCTGTTATAATATACTTAACGAAAAAATAAAATTTCGGACTTAAAATTTTCGATTTTATATTTTACATTTTTAAAATTATATGCTATAATTTTTTTGAAAATTTATAAATACAATTTTTTTATGAGAAATAATATTTATATTCTTCTTTTATTGAACACGAGTACTTTCGCTCAAAAAAAAAATTTTGAAAATCCGAGCACGCTAAGTAATTTTTCCAGAAAAGCGTTTTTTTCCTTTATTTTTAAATCGGACCATTTCCCTAAATATAGGGGGCATTTAAACTAAAAAACCCAGCACAGGGGGGTCGCGGCACAGTGGTGACGTATAGTTGGTGATAGTTGGATCAAGTATAATAATATTTGATAGTGATTAAAATCACTATCAAAAAAAAACGCTTCGATGCAAATCTTAGTTTTAATTAAATTAAACAAATTTAGTTTTCATAACGATATAAAAAAAATGATTTCTTTAATATTTTTTAAAAAATATATGAAAATATTTATTATAATTGATATTTTAACTTTATTTCTCTCAATTTAAATAACTTTAATAGATATAAGTTATTATAATTTTATTAAAAACATTTTTTTTTTGGGAGTTTTTCTTTTATTTAATACATTAATGGCTCAAAATATTTCGATAAAATCAGTAAATTATTTTAAGTTGTTATTTAAAAACAATTCTGAAAAAACCCAGCACAAGGGGGTCGCGGCACAGTGGTGACGTGGCATAGTTGGGTCAAGTATAATGATATCTGACAGTGATTAAAATCACTATCATAAAAAACGCTTCCATGCAAATATTTAGATAGTGTTTAATTTTAAAAAATGGGTGTATTATTCCAAAAGCTACATGATCTACTAGTTCCTTAATAATATCCTGATTAAGATATAGTATGTCAAATAAAAAAGAGATTATTAAAAAATATTATTTCTCATAAAAAATTGTATTGATCCATATATTTTTCAAAAAGTTATAGCATAATAAAGTTAAAAATGTAAATTATAAAATCGAGAATTTTCACACAAAAATAGCATTTGGTAGCCGTTTTCACCATGAAGACAAGTCCAGAGGTCAAAATTTTTTTTTTCAAATTAAAGTATATTACATTAACTTTAATTTAAGATATATATAAAAGTGTCAGACTTTCCGGAACACTTTCAAAAGTCAAGTTGAAAAAGTTATTTTTTTGTGAAAAAGTTGTCATTTTAAATCCCCCCTTGTGGGCAGATAAAGGGTCAAATTTACAAAAAAAAATATACCAAATGATAAGTAAATACATTAAGCATCTATAAAAAAAAAAATTATATTCATATGTTCATTTTTGAAAAAGTTACGGAAGTTTTTAGTAAAAAAAATTGAAAATATTTTGAAAATTAGCGATTTTTAAATTTGTAATTTTTTTGGAGGTTTCCCTCCAACCCAACCCAACCCAACGGGAAACGAGGGAAATGTTTACAATTTTTGAGGGTAATGTCTTCGACTAGATACGATTTGTGATCTTTTGACGTATCGTTGAAAGAAATCCGTTCGGTGAGAGCTGAAAAAAAGTGGCAACAACCACAAAAAAAAAAAAAAACACATCTTAGTAAAACCAATACCTTCTTAGCTTCGTATCGAAGCTAAAATGCATATAGAAAGTAGAACTATATTAACTTAATTTTTGAATGCGTTCCGGAAATATTGACACTTTTATATATATATATATGTGTATATTAAATTAAAGCTGATGTAATATTCTTTAATATGAAAACAAATTCCAAACTTTAGTTTGTTTTCATGGTGAAAACTAACATCAAAATTAATAAAATAATAAGATTTTTGTAAAAAAATTCTTTTTTATATTTTTAATTTTATAATGGTATAACTTTTTTAAAAATTTATGGATCAATATAATATTTTTTAAATAATATCATTTCCCTTTATATATTTATATATTATAAATATCTATCTATATATATATATATATATTTATTTATATATTTATTCACATATTATACTTATAAATCATAAAACTTGTAATCAGTATATAAATAAGGAAATATGAGATCATGTAGTTTTTGAAATAATCCACCAATTTTTTTAAAATTTAACACTATCTACAGATTTGCAACAAAGCGTTTTTTATGATAGTGATTTTAATCACTGTCAGATATCATTAGACTTGACCTAACTATGCAATGTCCCCACTATGCTGCGACCCCACTGTGCTGGGTTTTTTTGAACTATATTTACGTATCCAAAATATTGTTAAAAAGCTTTGCTTACCTCGTGCGTACACATGTATTTTATTCAAAAATTATTATTTAATACCTTTTAATGTGGTAGTTCAACAGACATTTAGAACTTATAATAATAGTTTAAAATCAATTGTAGATCGATTTTTAAGTTACTTGAAATTTAAGTTAATTTAATAACCTCATATATCTTTTGTTAACTTTAAAGAACAAGCAAATACAATGGCAATGTTATTTATATCAAAAAAAATTTAAAGTTTGGAATTGAAGCAGACATATAATAAAAAATTGAAGATTAAATCCAAATAAAAATATTTTTGTCAAATCAAATCAAATACTTCACTCTTATTTTAAAGCTGCTAACCTATTAGAGATTAGTATTACGTAAATAATGCTATATGTAAAATAATATTACTAATTGTACACTAAAAAAAAAAAATATTTTATCAAAATAATAGGTGACAAAGTTTTACGATAAAGTCGACAAGACATCTAATATTAGCAATTACCTTTAATAAGAAAATTTTTTTAGATTTGTTGAATAAAGTTGGTTACAAGCCCATTTACAAAATACTAAAGAAACTTGAACTTCCTCAGACATTTCCAGATTTTTCGACTGCTACTAGTGATAATGGAACATCTTTTAATATCGCTAGAACATTAGGACTAGCTCAACGATATTTAAGTGCTGATATTTTAATTCAAATTTCCCTAGAGCCAGATCCATCAGAAAAGCTTTCCACTTTATACGTAAAAAATTCATTCTACGTAAGAAATTTTTTACTGTTTTTTTGATGAATTATGATTTTTTAAGATAGCTAGGACCTGCTAATGGAGCTAGCACACCACTACCTGATGAACTACTAGTTGATTACAAAAAACAATGGCCATCAGCAATGGCTACTGATCTATCGGCTCGTGCAATTCTTTTGTTAAAAGTTAAATATATGGTATCAGTTATCTCAGAACTTGTTGGGGATAGTAACAGTAATACAACATCAATGGCTGTAACAGTGTTAAAAATTCTAGTTTTAGAATCTAAACTCAAAGTAAGGATACGCTAATAGATTAATACGATAAGTAGATTTCGAATTCATAAGCATTTATACATTTTATAATTATAAGTTATTTCAAAAACGGGAAAATATAATTAGCACCTTTAAACATTTTATTCTAGTTGTGGTTATGGTCCCATATGAAGTTATCAGTATAATTTCTAATAATGTTTTTTTATATTTAATTTTATATCTATTTATCATTAAGGCTTATGATTTAAATAAAAATAAAATAACATTTATTCTCGGTTACTAATACTCTAATTTCTGCTTGCTACAATATATACAGAGTGATTTAATAAGTATACTATTTCTGATAATTCGTTAAATGAGGAATTTTTTATAAAAATAAAATTAAGTTTAATTTATTATTATAAACCATTGTAAATTTTAAGTTTATTGTAAGAAAAAATAATTCTAAAGGTAGATTTTAGGAATAACTTTCGAAAGTAAAATGGGAAGCTATTATTACTTCTTTACTAGGCCAACCCCAAGTAGTTAGGATTAAGACGAGGAAGAAGAAGATTATTATTTCTTTAGTGTTTAATGGAGAATAGTTTAAATAAAATTTTTACTGGTCGATAAACAGTTTTATATTATTACTTTTTGAAATATTAGTATTGGAAGACTTAGAAAAGGTGAGGAGAGAGAAATGTTTAGCGTATGTATTTATTATAAGACACATATAAGAATTGTTTTAAGTTGCTCACTCCGCTCATTAACTATAAATTATAACAATAATATACATACGAGATTGGGTACATTTTGTATGTGAAATTAATCAAAAAACATATGTCATAAAAAATCAATATTAAGAAAAATTTTAGAAAATATTTGAAATATTTTATTTATTCATGTTTTATTATTAATTATTCAATAATCGTTTTTTATAAAAAAGCCATCTCAGGCAGCTATTTTCGATAATAATTTAAGTTTTAACACTTTTTCTTAATTTTTGGATTTAGAGAGAACAGAGTCAACAGAGTACATTAACGAAATTTAAGTTGTCAGATCTAAAAGACTATATGATATCTAATTCTTCAGATATTCTAGAAGAAAATACAGTAATAATACATAATACAATTATATTTTTAGTTATACTTATAAATATTTTCTTAACTATTTTGCAATAGTTTGATTGGATGTCATACATTCAAGCAATAACAGAAGGAATCAATAAAACCCTATCAATGAACGACATTGTATATGTTCGTGATCCAAATTATTTTTTGGTTCTTCAATCTTTAATGGCAAACGAGGCACTCGAAGAGTTTCGTAAGAAAAATAATAAGAATATTAAATTATTATAAAAAAAAAATTAAAAATTGATGAGATCATTTTCAATTAATATACAATTGATAAAAATACAAAGTGATCCGTTTATCATAACACACTCAATTACTTACAACTAAAATACAATAATGGGAAAAAAGTATTTTAGTTTTTTAGTTACATATATTTTTTGATTTTTTAATTAGTAATTACTATTTAAAACCGTCACTCATAACTTGTATGAATGTCAACTTTATATATTTTATTATTTAGCAACATATATAATTATATATATAATTAACCTATAAAAATTTTTATAACTGGACGGGAGAAGAAGTGCTACCAAAAAATATATAATAATATAAATAGACATACGTCTCTTCTTCAGTCTATATCTTAAAGACGTTATAACTCCCGAGTTATTGATCTAAAATGTTTAACAATGTTTCATTTTCTAAATTAGATAATTTCATATTAAATAAGCTAGTTAAACAAGTGTATTGCCATATGTAAAAATAAAGTTGGAATATCTCTAAATAATTATCTAAAGAATAATCATATAAAGTAATTAATAACTCATAAATTGTAAAAAAAAAACGTAATTAAAAAAAACCCAGCACAGGGGGGTCGCGGCACAGTTGTGACGTGGTATAGTTGAATCAAGTATAATGATATCTGACAGTGATTAAAATCACTATCAAAAATAAACGCTTCGATGCAAATCTTTAGATAGTGTTTAATTTTAAAAAAATTGGTGTTTTATTCCAAAAGCTACTTGATCTGCTGGTTCCTTATTAATATCTCGAT